TCAGGGACATCTGCACCGCGGCCCGTCCCAGCCGGGCGCTCGCTCCCCGGCTCACCTCTGGGCGGTGGTCATGATGGCGTCCACGACCTCGATAATCCTGTGCAAGGCGGAGTCGGTGCCGATGGTCATGTCAGTGCCGCAGAAGTCGTTGTCGATGGAGCCAACCATGCCCACGACGTTGAGGTAGGCGTGCTTCTGCACCTCCTCCCTGTCGATGTCGCCTGCGTGGGACACAGACCGCAGGCCCTGAACACGGGCCGCCGCCGACCCCGCAGGCACTCGGCCAGCGAGAAGCGGGGCGTCCCGGGGAGACAAAGCCGCCACTCCGCCCCGGTTTCCCACGTGTCGTTGTGTTTTCTGAACAAGCTCAGTCTGCGCGCTGAGGGCACGGCAGCCAGCCTGCGGCCAGGAGATGTCACCAGCCGGGCACAGGGGCTCAGCGCAGAAAGGGAACGGGGAGCACGCCGCGTCCGGCTTTAGTAAAACCCGACGTCTCTCCGTCAGCGGCCTCGGGCAGGTAGGTGTCCCTCCGTGTGAGGGGGTGTCACTCGCACAGACCCGGGACCTTCGGGACGCTGCGTGTGCTCCCGCAGATTTCTCACCGACGTGGGGGGCGGTGGTGGGGACCCGCTTCCGGGTCTCGGGAGAGAGCTGCCGAGGGGGGCGCGGGCAGGGACTCGGCGGTGACCCCCCTGTGCCGCCACAGAGCCTGCTGTGGGCCCGAGTGCAGCGGGCGGCAGGTGCCGCGGGACCCGACGGCCGCCCGCCCATCCACGGACAGACGGCGCAGACTTGGGGCCCCTGCTCCTGGCAGCTTCCCGCCCGTCAGAAGGGGCTGTCCCTTGAGGCCATGAGCTGCCGCGGGCCGCGTCGGATGCCAAGCCTCACCTCCGCATCAGCACCCTTCCAAGGTACGGGCCGCGGAACACAGAAGGTCCTCCGCTACAAGTCACCTCAAGTCTCGCAACAAGGCAGACACCGGGGGGCCCCCGGCAGAGCCGGACGCACGGGGTGGTGGACACCCGCACCCTCACCTCCAAACGCCCCGCGACCGTCAGCTGGGCGGACGCGTGAGTTCGGAGCGCTCCGAGGGGAACGGCAAATGAACGGAGGGAACAGAAAACCCCCCGGGGGACAGGCGGGCGCACAGACGTACCATTTTCGGCCAGCTCTTTGAGCAGCCCGCTCCACTCCTTCCGGAAGATGTTGGCCCCGGTGAGACTTCCGTCCCCGCCGATCACACACAGGTTGGTGATGCCCCGCTGAACCAGGTTCCCAGCGGCTTTCAGCCGACCCTCCCGGGTGCGGAAGGCCTTGCAGCGAGCGCTGCCTATGATGGTGCCTCCCTGGAAAGAAACCAGACCGCGTGTCCGTGCCTCCTCCCCGCAGGAGCTGACACGGGGCGTTACCAGCGCGTCAGTAAACACGCAGAGAACACAGGAGCCCGCAAGATAACCCAGCCGTCCCCAGGCCTGGGCTGAAGCAGGACAGCAGGGGCGGCCACGCGCCCCCATCCACCGAGCCTCCCACGGGCGGGCGCGGGCCAGCCGCCCGGGTACCAAGGCCCCCGTTCTCCTGGAGCTCCCCATGCGGGCAGAATAGAAACCTGTGAGCCAAAGAGTTTTGTGTCTTAACATCTCCCCCCACTCCCCCCACCCTCTATTAAAGGCTAAGTCGTAAGAAAACTTCAGTTGGATCACCCACATTTCCAGGAGAGACAAGTCAGGGCTCTTCACACTCGGTCTCTCAAAACTGAAAGACCCCTAGTCACGAGTTAAAAGAAAGCAGGGGTGCCTAGGGGGCTCAGTCTGTGAAGCATCCGACTTCGGCTCAGGTCATGGTCTCCCAGGTCTGTGAGTTCGAGCCCCACGTTGGGCTCTGTGCTGACAGCTCGGGGCCTGGAGCTGCTTCGGATTCTGTGCCTCCCTCTCTCTCTGCCCCACCCCTGCTCACGCTCTGTCTCTGTCTCTCAAAAATAAACATTAAAAAAAAATTAAAGAAGTAAAAAATAAATAAAAGAAAGCAGGATTTCTTTACATACATCGTGAATTCATTTATAACACCTCCATTTGCACACAATCTTTCACGTACGGGCTCAGTTCATAAGGCAAGTGCTCTGCACCCCAAGGAGCCCGTGCGACTGACGGGAAGTATGGCAGAGACAGCGGCACGGTGTGGCCCAGCAAAGGTGAGCCGGGGCGGAAGGTGCTGGGCAAGGACAAAGAGGGACTGGTCAGTCTGATGTGACCGAGAGCGACTCGAGGGTCCTGGGATTGCTGACAACTGGAGGTCAAGCGGGCACAGCCCATAAACACTGAGGGGCTCGCGGGGCCTCAGGAGCTAAGCCATGACTGAGGATCGCCAACGAGTCGCCCTCCACGCCCCGCACAACCCCGCCTGGGTTCCCATCTCCCTGGGCGGTCGCGGCACCAGACTGGAAATGGTCCTGTCACACGTGGGTTTGCTGCCTGGAATTCAGAAGACGCGTCCTCATTTTTTGCAAATAGCGTTCTAAGTGCTGACGGCTGTAAACGTCCCTCCGGCCTGTTTCCGGGGAGGGCAGAGGATAGGACCTACGAGTGTGTAACCAGCCTTACAACGTACACCCGGCGATCCCCTCCCCACTGGGGGTCACGGAGATGTAACGCACCTAGAGCGTGATGTAAGTTGGGGCGCACAACGTGCTGATTTGATACATGCACGCGTTGTGAAGGGATCACCACGAGAAGGCTCACTGACCTGCTTATCCGTTCACGTTCGCTTTCTTTTGTGGTGAGAGCGTTTAATATCTACTCTCGGCAACTTTCAGCATCATATCATACAGCGTTGTTAAGAGTTTTTAAGGCCTAGGACACGATGATTCAACGCACTTCTACACTGTGAAATGATCGCCATAACCAAGTTCATTACCACCTCCATCACCTCCGTAACCTCCGTGCGCGCCCGTGTGTGTTGAGAACGAAGATCTACTCCCTTAGCAACTCTCGAGTGTACAAAACAGAATTATTAAGCATAGCCACCATGCTGTACGTTAGGTGTGGAGGTTACTCACCCCCAACCTGGGAGTCCGTGCCCTTGGACCAGCGACTCCCCGTTTCCCCCACCCCCAGCCCTGGGCGGCCACCGCTCTGCTCTGTTTCTGCGGGTTCAGCTTTTCTAGATCTCACCTGCACGTGAGACCGTACGGACGTTGTCTGGGTCTGACTCATCCCCCCTCAGCACAACACCCCGAGGTCGGCCCGTGCCGTCCCGAGTTGCGGGACTTCCTTCCTTCCTACGGTGAATACATTCCACTCACAGTCAGACACCATCTACTCCGTCCGTCCTTCTGTCGCACGAGCACCTTCAGCGAGAGTCTATCAGTCTGGTTTCCTTCTACTGAAAAACGCTCAACGTGAGCGACACGTTAACTGGTGCGGAACCACCAGTAAAGACCTGTGTTGTGAAATCCATCCTTTCCCTGCCATCCATTCTCCACCGGTTCAGGCCTTCACGGAGCGACCGTGTTTGGGGAATTCATCCGGCACGAGACATCCGGGCAGGCTCCTTTTATGTTCCGGGTCGGCACCCGTCTTGCCCACAGCAGCACGGTCCCACGGCTGTGCACGGCCAAAGCCAGCAGCCACATCTGGCTCAGCCCGGCACAGGGAGCTGTGTTCCCACTGAAGCCCGCAGCCCTCGGAGGCCAATAGCGGGGATCGTTCCCAGGCCCGGTGACTCTCGAAAATCCAGCAGGCACCAACAAGCTGAAGCTGCCTCAACATTAATCCGGCCTTAAAAAACCAGAAACAGGGGCGCCTGGGTGGCTCAGTCGGTTGAGTGGCCGACTTCGGCTCAGGTCATGATCTCGCGGTCCGTGAGTTCGAGCCCCGCGTCGGGCTCTGTGCTGACCGCTCGGAGCCTGGAGCCTGCTTCCGATTCTGTGTCTCCCTCTCTCTGACCCTCCCCTGTTCATGCTCTGTCTCTCCCTGTCTCAAAAATAAATAAAACGTTAAAAAAAAAAAAATTAAAAAAAAACCAGAAACAAACCCGAAATCCACGACAAGGCCCACAAGTGAACCCCAGCTGTCACGCGTGACTCTCCAGTGCAAGAATAATCCTCTGCTGGCACGATGCAAAGCGTGTTAAAAAGTTTAATTAAGCCACCGATTGAGGATGTGTCCTTACCCCAGAAGTGGACGAGGACGGTAATGCCAGCCAGCACGTCAACGCGCCTCCAGCATCACCGGAGCCGAAGGACCAAAGGTTTCCAACTACCAGAGTGACTTACTTTGGAGACACAGGGACTATGGGAAGTGAGCACGTACCACTTGCAGAATGCTGGAGACGCTTTCCCAGTTGGCTTCCACGATGTTACTGCCGCCATCAACCATGCCTTGGTAACCCTGCGGAAAGAGGGTGGACATCCTTGTAAAAAAAAAAAACAAAAAAAACCACACTGGGTTCAACTCTACTGAGACGTCAGATCCACCTGTACATTCTGTGAAAAAGTAAGTGCGAGGAGTGAGGAAGGACTCTGAGCCCCTAGGACCCCAGCGGTTCCGAGCAGGGCGCGACCTGTGCTGCTTCTAGGCGGCAAATGTGCACAAAAGCTTCCTCAGTCTAACCCCCAACAAATGGGAACTTCTTGCCAGACTCGTCCAGGGCCCTACGGGGACTAAGCCAGTTTGCCTGTCACCTGACAGCTCCACGCAGGCTGAAAGGGGAGATACTTCCCCTAACGCTGATCGTAATGTGACAAACTCATGTGCAAACAGTGGTGTCAATCGTTGCGCGTGCAAGAAAGCATTCCTGTCTGGGCCTCAGTTTCCCTGGGCCGCTATCCGTGCCGCTCTCGACACACACGCCGTACCGTGTTCGGCTTCTGAAAAGCACGGCTGAGGATCACCGCAGCCATCGGTCGGCCTCACCCTGTGCTTAGCTGCATCTGACTCGCCGGAGGGGGCGGTGAGCCAGTGGGGGTCAAGGCGCCCGAGGACCAGGACCTTCTGGCTCTGAGGGCATCTCGCTTTTCCCCAGAGACCACACGAGATCGAGGAAGACAGACACACCCATTTGCGTCTTTACCGCCCGGACTCTCTCCCCAGGACATTTAACCTTAAAAAGGAACAGGCACTAACCACTTTGAAAGTTGATCATAATAGATTGTTACGGTGGATTCGTATCTCCTACCCTCGTGGAGGTCATGAGGAAAGAAAAAAGTAAGGATTTTTTCAAAATGAAATGGCCCACCAAGTAGGGAACCGTGTGTGAAAGTTAATCAACAGGGCAGGAGCCTTTACAGGCAATCATTGCGTGAACCTGTGCTTACCCGTCAAAAATATGTTCCCATATGATGTAACGTACCGTGTTAATACACTGTATCGTAATAATATATGATACACGTTAACATATTATATCGTATACCATGACATACGATACATTACTGTTATCTTTACATCCTGAAACATCGTATTATAAAACTTATTATTTCTGTGTTATATAGCGAGAATACATACATGATGTATGTCTATAAATTATACAGAATGAACCTGCCTTCAACCTCTCTTTGTTCTGTTTCACTCCAGACCACCTCTCTTTCCTGTTTGTCACACACATAACACCAGGCTATCAACACACACCTGTGTCTGTGTATATATTTTTATAGGCTACATAGATACGCATTGTACGTAACACGTAATATGTTGCGTACAATATACAACCATATACGTTTACAAAACAGCAATATAATTACAATCGTAAATATAGCAAATACATACTTTATATGTTACACAGAACATAGATTGCATACAATGTATTATAGTCACATAATGTTTTACACCGTATAGTATGCGAACATCTAAATACATATACACCCATGCACATGTCACAGTCTGGTGTTCTGTGTGACAAACAGCAGAGGGACAAATGGAATGGACTAAAGTGGGGCAGAGGAGCCGTGAGCAGATTCGCCTTGGAGCTGGCGGGCCTCCCCACGCCTCCTGTACTGAGGACGTGACCCCCGGGCTCAGGCTCCCCACAACCCCCAGAACAGGCCGTCTTCGTGGGGCAGCGACAAAGCCTACCGGGTGTGTGTTTTTAGCCCTGTCCATATAACGTATGGGGCCGCCGAGGATGTCTGTGGAGGGTGACGTGGGCCAGGCCCGGCCCCTGGAAGGGGGGCTCCCGAGAGGTGTGAGTTGTGCTGTGCCAGCTGTGAGTCACCAACCACACACGCTGCCCCGGGACCAATGCAAAGGCAGGCCCTCCCTGCTTCTAAGGGACTCCCAGGGACAGTGAGCAGCGTGTTACAAACAGGTAGAGAGACGGGTAGCCAGACAGACAGACAGACAGACAGAGAGCAGGGAGAGGACGCAGAGGGAGGGAGCCTCCGGCCTCAGGACTGCCTGTCACCAAGCCCTGCCAAGTAACTCCCCAGTTTCTGCTAAGAACTAACCCCCCCACCCCCCGTCACTCTGCACGCACCACACGCCATGCCATTCCTCAGATACGGGAACAGCACTCAACGTCCGTGGCGGTGCCGGCTTTCCAAGCTCCGTTCTCTGAAGCCTGGGATGCAGGGACACAGCACGTGTCACCGGACACAGGCCTGCGCTGAACTGGACCCAGCGCACAGCACGATGCTTCAGCCCCAAACCCGCGCGGGCCTGACGACGAGAGAAAACATCTTGAACGAGGCCAGAACGGCAGGTGAAAACCAGGGCCGTCCCGTGCACGGCAGGGTGACGCGCGCCAACCCCTCGGCAACACCCAGAAAGCCAACACGCCGCTCCCCCGCTCCGACGGCCGCCAGAGTAATTCCGGCACCCTCCGTCCTGAGGTCACCAAGGACACCCAGGGGAAGGGGCCGCCCCGGGCGCCCCAGTGCCGGCGAGGATGCGGAGGCCGGGGCAGTGTCCCCAGCTTGTCGAGGGCCGTCTCCGCTGCACCTGGCTGGCGGCACGGTCCCCTGGACAGTTCGGGCGACTCGCGTGCCCCGCACGGCATTCCACAGCTTCTGCCCCCAGGCGCCTCTGTGGGGAATGCAAATTTCCCTCTGCCTGTATTGTCACCGCCCAGCCTTGAACACTGACTCAACAAAAACATTTCCGAATCCCTTTGCTCCTGGAGTAGGAACGTGGGAAATCCTCCTAGAAAACATGACACACATTTGGAAAGGCAGAATAGCCTCCCAAGATGGTTTATTTTGCGCAGCGCGGCTGTCTACGGGAAAGGAAGCACCCGTGGGCTGGGCCGCAGGAAGTGACTGGCAGGGGCCGGGGGCTCGGGCACATCTGAGCGCAGTTTTAAGCCGTCCTTCGCTTCCCAGGAAGACGTGACTAAATCAAGAAGGCCGGTTTTACACAAACGTACCATAATTTACAAGCTCGGACGAGCTGTTTTCCACTGAAGCCTCTTTGGAGGTTTGAATGCCTATTCCAATACAGCCAAGAGCCCAAAATATTTTCTGCCATCCTCTTTGGAGTCTGACTTCAGAGCGAGTTCCATGACTCACACGGGAGCAAAGACACGCAAAAGCTGGAAGAACCGCACTGAGTTTTTACCCCAGAGTAACGCTCCCCGCCTGGCTGGCCCTCGTTTGCACGGTGTTGAGCCAGAGAGAGACCCTTCGCGGCCGCACCAAGTGTGACGACCTGTGGAGGCTTCAAGCGGCACCTCTTGGTGACGTCCCCAAACGTGCCCCAGACTCTGAAGTCAGTTTGACCCCCTTGGAACCGTCCTGAGCAATGTCCAGGGAGGCCTGGGGGCCCAGTCTGTCCCCAGGACCCCGTGCTGCCTTCAGAGGTCACTCTGACCTGCATTTTTAGGCACCTGTTAAATCGGCTCTGAGGAGAGTCGGAACCAGTCCACGGTGGGTGGCTTCCTCTCACAAGAGACCTCCTACTGCGTAATTTTTTTTAATTAAAGGCCCAGAAGGAAACCGGAGTCCCGTGCTACGGGAAGGACGCTTTGTGATTTAGAAGGCTCATGTTGCAGGCGTCCACCCTTCTCCCCCAGCCGGACGATCCTCCTTCCGGATCCCGTTTCTGGCATTTTTCGCCCAGCATCTCGCCGTCTGAGTGGCACACGTTCCAGCTGCCAGCGGAGACGCTGTAGCCAAGATCGCGACCGCGAAGCGTCTTCTAGGTGTGACCACTGACGCCAGAGACCTCTCCCGGGCTTCTGCTGCTTTGCGTAGATACGTGTTTTGGCTTCCCGCTTTAGTCCTTCACAAACGAGAGCACGTCACCGACAGGACTTAACGGCAAGCACACGAGAGGTGCGCTCTCGACCGCTGGAGGCTTTGGAGTCAGGAAATGCCATCCTGCTAAACCAGGTGGGTGTGAGACAGCGGCGGGCACAGGTCCTCCACGGTGGTGCCTTCGAAGTCCAGGAACGTCGGCTGTTTTGCTACAGGAGGTTCTGGGCGGACCCCCCGGTGACACAGCAGGCCCTCCCAGACCCAGCGCCCAGTTCACCGCACCCCCCCCCCCCC